GAGCAGTGGGGGGATAAGCCAGTGAATGCCTTTACTCTCCAGGCCACAACAGCTGTCAAAGCCTGACCAGAACATATCCTGAGGGGACAAAACGGCTCCCAGTGTCCCACCAAAACAAACATGAAATGCACATCAAGCTGCATCCCTCTTCCTCTCCATCCTCCCTCTTTCTCTTCTCTCTCCTTCCACATTCTTTTTATGTCTTTGTCTCCCTAATGATGCGTCTCATCTTAGAGTTTTCAAAGCTTTCCTCCCGTCAGAGCAGCGGCGCTATAGGTGAGTGATCATTAAGAGAGCCTCGCTCCTCCATTCCCGCTTATTCCTGAGAGAAGTAATTCCTCTTCTCCCGAGAGGAATCGTTTCTCTTAGCACAAACACCCACACACATTCTTAAGGAAGCCACTAATCCTTCAGCCGCTGCATTTTTCTACTTTTCCTCCTTTGTTTATCTTCCCCCTCATGGGTGTGACTTTAAGTATTTATTAGCGCTAACGTCAACCTAAAGAAAAGACCAGCGTGTGAAATGTGTGTATGTTTGGTTTGGAGAGTGAACCAACTTGTGTGTGTTTCTTTAATTATGTGTGTGCTCTTCAGACGGAGCATCAAACATTACACACACTCAGGCTGACAGTGTTGAACATGAAAGCCGCTGAGACTCATTAAGCCACTGATTACAGCTTGGGGAGGAGAGTCCTGAGCAGCTGCTGCGCTCAAACACACACACACACACACACACTTCCTGAAGTTTTTTTTTAATTTGTGGCTAACTGTAAACACTCTGTGTATAACCTTGTGTATTATTATGGATCACTTCTGGTTTAAAACTATAATGTTGATATTATCTAGAGTCTTGGAGCACTGTGGGTGGGACTGTCCTCAGTTACACCTGTACCCAATAAAAAACTCAAAATGTGCTTTTCTTAAAGCTATGGTAGGTAACGCTGGAGAAACTAACAAGAGACGGCTAGATTTTGAATCATGGATGTATAGAGAGAACTGGATACAGCGTTGGTTGAGCTTCATTTATTCCTATGAAAGCTGCTCAGTAGCACATGAAGACAAAAAAGCCACTTCCCGCTGTACAGAAATTACCTGGATGAATACAAACTGCGGCCCACAGCTGCCCCATAGAGCAGGCACACCAGAGACTTCCTGTTAGCCCTCCGCTAACTTTAATGATTTAATTGTGTGTTGGACTGTTCCTGACTTAAGATTTTCCTAGTCAACTGGATACAATTATGATTGTAATTATGTCATTTCGCGAGGGTTGTGATGGTAAATAAAAAACAGATCCACCGTTTTACAGCTGCTTCTTTCACAATGAACCTTACCGGAAAAAGTATTTTTGAACAAGTGTGCATCACGTGATGGATGCCATTGCTGTAATGACACAGTGGCTTCAAAGCCTGACACTTTTCCTGGTGGCTGGTTTTGAAAGTGTCCAATCAAAAAAGTCGCATCCCCTCCCTAAAGTACCAAAACCAACTGATACGCAGTGAACCTGAGACTTTCAGTCCCATGGGGGCCCCTGGGCGGTTTCCTGGTTGGTAAACAAGCCTCAAATTTGTTGAAATAAAATCCAGGAGAAAGTCTGTATCTCATATAAATATTGTAAATTGGCTGTTTATCCTATTCCTTAAATAACACTCCAATCTCCTCCATTAATTTGTATCACTGTGAGCGTATAAAGCAATAAACAGCATTTGATGAGTTTGCCTAAAGGCGCTCGAGTGTGGGAGGTGTCGGTGGTTCCAGGCTGCCTTTTTGGAGTATGGTCACACTATCTCTGCAAATATACGCTCCATCTCCCATTCACTTATTGAAGCCAGTATAACAAACAGAGCAGCGTGTTAAACATTCTTCTTTTTCTCTTGGTGAAGTGCACTAGTACTCAAAGTTTGCTTGGAATTTGAATGTCTTCACAAATTTATTTTTAGGTTCCTGACATTTGAACTGACGACTGACTATTTTTTATGAATATGTCATATTATTTATATTTTAATGCATAACAATAACAGTACAGAGCAATAGATAAACTGTTTGTATAAAACAAGTGATTTTGATTCATTTTGAGCAGATTACTAATATTGCATGAGAGATGGAGCGTTTTATACATTTCTGTGTCTGTACTATGTACTTTATATTCTATTTTTAACCATTTTAACTACTTAAAAGGCCTATTTTTAGACAAATTCAGTTTTTAATTTTATCTGATGCATGGCCATTGTTCTATTAGCTCTTTGGCTGTTTTAACTGCGTACGTTTCTAATGCAGGATGAGGCTGTTTAGTCGTGACTAGTGAAGGCTCTGAGAATATAGCTCGTGTTTAGGTCTTCAAAGTTTAACTTTAAAAATGTATTTAGTTTTCTTTACAGAAATGAAGAAATTCATTCTAGACATTTATTACATGTACCAATATCACTAAAGGAGGTAGAGAAATAGCTAAACCTCTGACACAGAGCAACAGAGAGCAGGAGAGAGCAATCGCTAACCACTAAGCTTAAGCACTGTAGCTGCCAGGACTGAATAGCATGTAAACCACTGTGGGATTAGGGACAAAGCTATGAGAGCTTGAGCAGAACTAGTCTAAGTTTAAATGAATAGTTGGCAATTATCTGATGTAAAGGAGAATATTACACAATTAACTGGGTTGAGCTAGAGCAGTAAAAATGCGAGCACCTATAAGCACTCAAACAGAAAGGACACACTGACTGCAGCACATCAGAGGGGTCACGTCTTTTATGTTATGTATTGGTTTATGAACATAATGTGGAAAAATCAATAATCAAATAGATCAAATAATGATTGGGATTTGGGATTTTTTTAGAATGAATAATCAATGTTTTGGGTCTTTTTTGGACAGTTTACATTTAGAATTGTGAAACCCAGAGAATTGCAATTTGGATTCAAAATTGATGATTTTATAGTTTGTAGGTTTCGCCTGCAGCATGAAACTACCTCAGAGGATGCGCTCTCTCCAAGGAACTTCGAGTTCCAGTTTCATGAGAAAGTGTTTCACATATAGCTCCGCTTCCTCTTTGTTATCCTTCTTTCTGTGAACGTTCACTCACTGAGACGACTCCAACAGTGGCAGTGTGAGATACCATCAGAGTCTTGGTGGTTTGTAACATTAAGTGGGAAAGAAATGAATTAAAGGCAGTTTGTGCTCGAGCACTCACCATGAAAGCTTTTCTATGGAAGAGCATCAGCAGCTATTATGGTGGCCTTGGCAAAGCTGCGGTCTCCCATTCATGTTGTGTCTTGTTTTGTTATTTTTCTGTTTTGTGTGTGTGTGTGTGTGTGTGTTCTTCTGTGACTTATTCTAGCAAAATATGTGTTAGCATGATGCTGTAATGCATTAATATTCAGCATGGGGGGACTCAAAATGTGTGTGTTTCCACAGTTAAAATACTGACACTTGGGCTGGATTCAAATTTGATCATCGACAAACGGAGGCACATTATGAAATCTAAGGGTTTCTATTTACAGTAGAGCAGAAGAAGGAGCAGAAGGAGGTTCCAGGTCCACGTGGTTCAGTTCTGATCCAAACTCAGCAGCTCTCTCAGCTGTTGCTCCTGACAACGGGAGAAGGAGGAGGAGGAGCTCGTTGCTGGCCGGGTTTTTTTGGTGGAGTAGGAATGCCAAGCTGCCAAGCTCTCCCCTGTGGGACGAGGCCCGAGCGCTCAGTCCTGCTACTTGGCTTAACTCAAGCGAACCCTCCGGGGCTGTAGCCATGAGGACACACAGATACATGAACATGGGCTCGTTTGCAGACACGCAACGTGACAGGCTTGTGTTCACATACAGTTTGAAAAGCCAATCATTTGATAGGCAGGCAGTGTCTTTGTAATAGCAGCCTACAGTAGTTATGTATGAAAATGAAGTAAAAGACATTAATGGAGTGTTTTCAAACTGCATTTCAGTGTAAACTCAAAGGATAAATCTGGATGGGGAAAGTAGAAAAAGCAATGCTTGTCTGTCCCTCATTACCACCACTGAGGTGCCCTTGAGCAACCTTAAAGGTCCAGTCTATAACATTTAGAAGGATCTATTGGCAGAAATGTAATATATTATTCATAGCTATGTTTTCATTAGTGTGTAGTCACCTGAATATAGGAATTGTGTTTTCATTACTTAGAATGAGCCATTTTTATCTACAGACGGTGCATAGAACACATTTCTACAGCAGCCCAGAACTGACAAACAAACATTGGCTCTAGATTGAGCCTTTTTTGCGAGTTTTGCAGCCACCGTAGTTTCTCCTTTAAGCTTGGAACAGTAGGGTGAAACGAGGGGGTTGTAATTTGCAACTACACAGCTAGATCTCACTGAATCCTACCACACTGGTCCTTTAAGAAAATAGTGCTCTAAATAGCGCCTTTGCTTGTTTCGCTGCCACCATAGTTCCTCCTACAGACTTCACAGCTTGTCATTCCCAGGTAATCAAATACAGATGCGAGCAGTATTCAGTTAGTTGCAATCTGCAACCTCATAGCTAGATGCCACTAAATCCTACAGACTGGTTCCTTTAACCCCCGAATGCTCCAGCTGCCAGCAGATCAGACTGTGGTTGCACTGGGCAGCATCCATAAATGTGTGTAACTGTGTGAATATGATCAGGGTGTTCCTCTAAAAGAAAGACTTCCTCTCAGTGAAACCCTCCTGAATAAATAAAGGTTAAAAAAAAGAACAAACAGCAACAAGCAATGTTGATCCAGGAATTTTAAAAAGAAGACTGTGAGAAAGGGCATGTTTTGTTAACATTTAAACCTTATTTCTCATGCAGTTAGCGCACATGTTCCATGATTGTCAGATATTTACTTTGAGGATCCAAATGGAGTTTAATGGAGATTTTCTAAACATTTTCTATCGTTAAGACTTCTGAGTGCTTTCCCGTTTGGATTTGCTCTGCAGAGATATATACACTTAAAGAGAGCTTATATAAAAGATACTCTGTAATGTCATTTCGCTGATGGTCTCTTAATGTTGTGTTTTTCTAGATCCCAAGGTGAGCTGAGGTCCTGTTGTGTCCGTCTGTGAGAGCTGAGTATTCAGAGGAAACTCCTGACTGAGAAACACAAAATGTCTGCTGCTAATATCAGCCCGCTGATCCTCGCCATCCTCCTCCTCGCACCCTCAGTAAGCTGATTTAAATTCTTTATTCTTTTTGTTCGTGTATCTTAAAGGAGAAAATCTGTGCGTTTGAATGAGCATGCTTGTGTATGTGCAGCTAAAACGATTTACATGCAAACAGATTTAGCAACAGGTGAACAGCTGAACATGAATATATTTAGCAAACACGGGTTGAGGCCTCATTTTCATGCACTCACACAGTCATTCACGTAGTTAAAGTAACCATATGGAGTGTCTGCATCAATAATTCATTGATCGGTGTGTGGCAGAGCGATGGATAAAGATGCATTCTCATCATTTATTCATTGTTCATTCAACATTATTCCTGTCTGTTAAATCTGTGAGGAAGAATCCTTCTTTGAAATTGATGCCATAAATTAAAAGATACTTGATTGTTGAGTCTCAATCCCAGTTCGTCAAATACTGGTTGTTTTCTTTCAGGCCCTGTGGATTCTTGCAAATGCCATCAGGTGCGCTAGGAGAAGCCTGAAGAACCTGATTATTTACTTTCTTACATACCGAATCCTGTCAGTGTAGTGAACATTTGAACAAATATGACAAAAAGTTGTTTTAATAAAAGCTAAACGCGCAGTGGTCACTACAGTGGATAGCTATTCAAAAGCAGTTTTCTTGTAGAAGCATTGTTTTTAATAGTATAGTTGCACGGCAGCCACCACAGTGGAAGCTTGTCATCCCATATACTGCCACCCACTGGCCATCTGTTGTAAGTGCAACAAAAATGTCTGAAGAACAAGATGGCTGACAGAATCATTTTATAGTAGGAGGAGCCTTGAAAAAATTGGGAACATGAAGTGACAATTAAGAGTAATAAAGTTGTTAAAATTCATAAGCACTGATTATATGTCCAGAGGAAATTACGATTAATTGGATTCATCGCTGGCTACTATTTCTACTACAATTCATACTACCATATTGAAAATGCTTCCTGCAGTAACTTGAAGTTTTAAAAAAAAAAACAACAATATTTTGTACAAATGATTTAACATTGAACATGCATTAAAACAATGATTATTTTATATATATTTACATTAAAAATATAATTTATTAATTGGTTTTTAATATACAGTTTAAAACTCAAACACATGAAGGCAAATGTGGCAAAAACATCATATTGTGATTATTTTGACGGATGTGATATGATTCATGATTTTCGTGATTTTTCTGACAAATTCGGTGTTTTCTTCTCATTGATGTATTAGCTCTTTGGTTGGAACTTTTCTAAGAGTGAAGGCTCTGTGAATATAGCTTGTGTTTCCTGTTTATATGCTAAATAATAGTCTATACTTTAAAAATAACTATTTCTTTTAGTTTTCTCTGTTGAAATCAAGAGGTCTCCGTGACCGCCAGAGAAGCTTTGGTGACTCCTAATAGGGGTCCCAACCCCTAAGTTGGGAACCACTGCTGTAGTCGATAAATTGCATATGTTAGCATCCAAAATTGCATTATATTTAAGTATCTGTGAACACTAAGCATGATATAATGCAGTAAAGCAGCTGGATGAGCTTTAAATATTGTATGACACAGGCACACCCTCAGTCATGTACATGAGCTGTGAGGCCGATCATGCTGGGTGAACACAGTTTGACCTAATTAGATATAGTGAAGTGATTTAAGGCAGACAGATACGCTATAATTAGTCACAGGAGGTTACACAGCAGAGAAATAAACACAGAAGCACAGAAACTGTTCTTTAAACTTTCCAAGACTCACACAGTGTGTTTGGCTTCCATCCTTTCAGCAACCCTGTGGCCTCCGAATTTAGTTCATGTGTGTTTAATCTGCTTTATGTTCACTGGCAGCATTCAGTGCCAAAGAATGAAGTCAAACAGCGAGGATGTGGGGTCAGGAGAGTGGATGCGTACATTGAGTTCAGGTTTAAATCACATCTCATGCTGCAAGATGATGTTTTTAATATCAACACTTGTAGTCGTTAATTATATGATCTAGTTTGTTTTAATATTAAACCATGACCCATGTGTTTCTTTAGCCTGAAACACTTCCACAGGTGTTTCCACTTATTTTTCCTGATCTGACCTTTTCTCATCTCTGTGGGCGTGTACGGACTGTGTGTGATTGACATCTCTGTTAGATTTGCTGTACCTGTTGAGGCAGTGTATTGGGAGTTTACTGACCTGATGTCATTTTTCAGCGCAGCTCCACACAAGTTTACCACGAGCAGAGGTCTAATCAGGTGGACTAACCTGTGTGACCGTTTAATTGAGTGGTTCTACTTTACTGACCTTTAATGTACCTCAGTCATGCTTTAGCTTCCACGTTCTGTCTGATCTGTTGGTAAATCTTTGTTCAGGTGTACTTATAGTTAAGTTTTCTTCTATTTTGACAGTTTCAACCACAACATTTTCTGTTATCAGAAGTGTCTGTGGTGTATGGGTTTTTGTATTCACTGGTACTGCACAGCTCTGTAATCAGCAGTTGGACTTTACACATCATCACTCACAGATTAATTCAGAGAAGTAAGAAGAAAAGCACATGGGCTTACAAACGCTCGGCCCTCTTTCAGCTTTCAATGAACGGTGCTCTTTCAGCTTGTTCATTCAGAACTTAAGTACACAAATATTATAATTAGGGGCGTCTGTGTGGCAGAGGCAGAGCAGGTCGTCCCCTAATCAGAAGGTTGTTGGTTCAATCCCCGGCTCCTGGTGCCACATGTCGAAGTATCCTTGAGCAAGATACTGAACCCCAAATTGCTTCCGATGCCGTGCATCGGTGTGTGAATGTGTATGAATGAGTTAATTTGTGTTCGATGGACTTTGCCATCACTGGGTGAATGTGTGTGAAAGGGCGAATGTGGCGCTTTGAGCGGTCAGAAGACTAGAAAGGTGCTATACAAGTACAGGTCCATTTACCATTTAAGGGATATGAATAATTTCAAGATACTTAAAATAATTACATCACAATAAGCAAAAATATCAATGTAGGCACTGGCGGACCATTTCTATTGCAGGGTTAGTGAAGTGTGAAGGTACACTGAAAGTTCCAGCTGAATTAATAATAATAATAATAACAATAATAATAATAATAATAATAGAAGATAAATCTATTTTAATTATTACCTTTAACATTTAAAACTGCTATCTCACCTGGAAGAATGTGATCAATTTTAGGGCATACACAATAATAATTATAAAAATGAATATATATACATGTATTTTATATAGCACCAACCCAGTATTGTGTTGTTGCAACAACACAACCCAGTTATTATTTTTAGTGTGTATTATTCTTGTAAGAGGAAGAGATACATCCTATTAATTTAAGACAAAAGCTACCTTCATTCAAAACAGCAGGATGACAAGAACTAATAACTAGGCATTAAGAATCTTCATGATTTTCTCTCTTTATAAAGATCCAGAGTGTGACATTTAAAAGGATCTATCTTGTAAAGCTAAGCTGTAGTCAAATGGTCACAATATGCAACTTCACTGCTAGATGCCAATAAATCCTACACACTGGTCCTTTAAGGAAACTTTATTTCAACCATCCTGAACAACAAAAGGTTACCAAAATACATTGGCTTTTTTACAATGGCAGTGATAAGTTCATAAAACCTACCTATTGATATTGATATTTATAGATGAATAAATTATCGATCTAATCTAACCTATTGGTTGTAACAGGTATTACACATTGATGAGATGACCCAGTGTTTGGTTTGACAGTGTGTGACGGCTACAGTGTATCGGGTGTTTAACCACCTACCCAGCACAGAAAGTTGAGATGTATCAGCATAG